GCTGTTGCCTCTCTGAGTGGCGCCTACAAATAGAAAAACAAGTGCCGCAGAGGCGACACGCGCTCACTGACGTGTACTGTAGCCAGTATTCTTCTATAATAAATGCAATGGCAACCGAATCAAGTGGCGCACCTCTGCCACCGACGTCTCGCCGCTCTAGAGCATATATCTTAGATACTACTAATACAGATCTAAAATCTATGATATGACTTTGCTATACCTACTGGTAAGTACAATAATAAAGATAACAGCTTGTGTAACTTTAACGACTTCGTTAAATTAACATGTCTATCATGAATATCGTCAAGCGTAGCCATATGCGTGTGGTGGGGAAGGGGTGGAGGGGGGGGGAGGTGGGGAGGCTGAGGCGGCTCTAATACATAATGCAGTTGCAGTCCTTTTGTTAATCAGTCAACAAATCATGGTTTAACCCTCCTCTTGGGTCAAAAGCGTTATCAGAACTTACTCTTTCGCAGGTCAGTAGAAAAGTAATTTCATGGTCCTTTCAATAGTCCTTTCATAAAGTGATAAAACGGTAGGTCAGCGCTCGAACAAAAAAGTTTTGCACTCGGTCCATTAGACCATGTACTCAGAAATGTCTGAGATTCTGACGCGTTCCACTGCCTTTGACCTGTGACCTCCAATTTTGGCGCTGCTGATGGCGTTCCTCCCCATCAACTTATACATCGAATTATTAAGCAAGCGTGTGTAACCGTTGAGATTTGTGCCGCAATTCCGTATTTCCTCTATACTTAAGTTAAGGCGAAATATTCCCTCCATTGACACACTCCTTTCGACCTTGACCCTTGACCCCCAAATTCGACACCGAATCCTTTTCACGAACCCCGCCGTCCCAGAATATCCAAAGACCGTACGTCGAGACGGTTAAGATTTGTGCCAATGTTGATGACGGACGGACGAACAATCATGCGATTCTACAAGCTGCATCTGACTTCGTAGCTGAGCCTAATTAACATCGTTATTACATATAACAGGAAACGCTTACATAAACCTACGAAACGACAAGACGACATGAGAGCTGGCAGCAAAATCACCCACGAGTCTCACATACAGTCATACGGTAGCAAATTAAAGTCAGATTCTTTAGAGAGTACACCGTGACAGGACATACTGAGCCTGCTAGCCAACGTAAAACGAGCAGCTGTCATAGATACACGTACAGGCACTACTGGAAGAATGTAAGCCAGTCTTTGAGGAATCATGCTAGCAGCACTGATCGAGGATCGACGATAGTTCAGTCTCTCCGCATCTGTCGGTATCCTCTTAGCTGATCTGCGTAATCCATGCCAACCTGACGATAGTTTTGTTCACGATTATCATCAAACCATCGTTAGTTCCATCAGTTATACCGAATATGCATTTGAATGATGGGGCACTTCAAATGATCAGCAACCCAAATACTCGTGGACGTGTATAAGACACTAAACCTGTAGAGAGTTGATAATAAGACTTCATTCTAAATATTATTAACACACAAACAATAGTTTACCATAGCGCCACTGGCACAATGTTAAACAGATAATTAAAAGATATTACTAATTAACGGTTATCATTACACCTTCATATGGGTTCATCGCCCTTTTGGTGATATCTTCATGAAGTAACACAATACAACTAGTAATCACTTCATATCTCGCTCTCTGTGCATTTGTTAGCACAGGTCTAATGCGAATGAATATTACACACGCACAGGCGAAAACAATCGACGCACAATCAGGGTATAGGCAGAGATATGAGTATTGTGGGAGTGCAGAAAAAGAAATTTGGGAGTCACATATTTTACAATTTACACGGCTTTAGATCAATATTTTAGACCGTGCAGTTTCAAAACGACCGTGCAAATCACTGACGCTGCCACGTCGCTGGCTAATAACGTTGCCAATCGACACACGCACCTCTGCCTGTTTTCCTTCTCCTTATCGCATCGCCACAGAGAGCCAGAGAGACTCTTTCGGCCGCTGCGGAGGAGGAGTCGGCGCGGCGCGACGGGCCGGGGAGCGGCATGCGCGGGCGTCTGTCGGCCTGCGTGCACGCGCGACGAGAACGCACACGCCGCGAGCTCGAGAGTCGGACGCAGCGAGCGTCAGCGCCTGAAACTCGAGTAGAGACTCGAGACGACGTGTCGTCTGCTCCGCGCTGCCGCCGCGCTGCGAGCGCCCACCGCGGCAGCGCTGGTTCTCCACAGGAGGCGGAAGTCGGGCGTCGAGCAGTGCTCGATGCGAAAGGCCGTCAGTGATCGGCTCAGCGTCGAAGCTTCGTCAGACACGTCGTCTGAACTGCGAGAGCTGATGACAGCGACGTGTCAAAGCCCTCGGGAGGCACTCGGTTGTGCCTGAAATCCGGAGGTCGCCGAAGGTCGACAGCCCGCGGCGGGTACCACGCCCCGCGCCATCTTCGCCCAGAGGTCGCCGTCGCCGCGCCGCTCGTGACGCTTCGAAGTCACGCCCTCGACGCTTCGAGCCACGCCCTCCTCACCACGCGTCGGCGCCGGCACGCCCACGCGCCACAACATCGGCCGGAGTCGCAGCGCCGCTGCTGCTGGCGAAGTCGGAGCTGACGTCGGAGGTGGCAGAATGGCGCTTGAGCATCCATGGAGAAGGAGATGCGGCGGCAGGCAGCGTGGCCGTAACGGCGATTGCTGCTCAGAATGGCCGCCAGTGTGACGCACGTCATGCCTCGCCGGCAGGTAGAACTTACACCTGCGCGACGAAGATAGCGTTGTAGCCAATATCAAAAGAGAGATAGACAACAGACAGATGACGATAGACCTTGACCCCCAGCTTGCAACATGCCCAACTCGGTTTCGATTCCCCCCCCCACGTTCCCAAGTATCGTGACGTACTCGAGCCGTTTAATTTGCTGCCGCAACATTTGAGGGACGCACGACGCACGCTCATGCGATTTCTACAAAGTGCATTCTACTACGTCAGATGCAGGGCTACAAGACGTAGACAACAGAGAGACGACAGAAGGCAATGTCAAATATCAAAAAGACAGATAGACAATAGACAAACGACAAATGGTTGTAGCAAGTATCAAAAGACAGATAAGCAACAGATGAAAACGACAGATGCATTGTAGCAATATCAAAAAGAGAGATAGAACAACAGTCAAGACGACAGATAGGCATTGTAGCCGTCATAGCAAAAGGGAGAGATAAACAACATCAAATGACAGATAGCATTGTGCAATATCAACACAAGTGCCGCAGAAGCCGACAGCGGCTCACTGACGTGTACTGTAAAGCCGGGTATTCTTCTGATAACTCCCTGGCAACCGAATCAAGTGTGCCATCCCGCACCGCGTTCTGCCTCATGCGCATATATATCTAGGATTACTATAATACAGTCTCAAATCTATGATAGCTAGCTGCAGTATACCGGTAGTACATTTATTCTAGATACAGCTGTGTA